ATTAACTGTTAATTTAAATCTTTGCCACTATCCTTTGAACAACTAGTTTTTACACAGTTGTCAGCAAGAAGGTTTTAGTCATTTAAAATACAATAAAATTTAGTATGATCACCTGTGTTGTTTAATTTTTACATAAATATATCTGTTACACTGAATGATTATGGAACATTATTTCACCCTTATTTTGACAGTTTACTTTCACAAAAGTTACTTGAAACATCAAAGCAGACACTTGCATTTAATATGCTTTCTATGTATATAAAATCACTTTTATAAATGTAATTTGATGCAGACACCAAAATGTGATGTCTCTTCTTTGACCCCCATACAATGGAAGTCAATGGTAACCAAAACTGTTTGGTTAACAACATTCTTCAGCATATCTTCTTTTGTGTTTAGCTAGAAGCATACAGCATACATTAAAATGTACGAAAAACCTCACCTTTAGATATGAAACAGCCTCACTCCATCAGTGTTTATGGTAGATGACCCTTCCTCTGGTGCTGTGTGGAGGTGACGGACAGTTAACACTAGTGCGCCATCAACAGGCTCGGAAGAAGAATTCACTTATCAGGAAAATTGCCTTTTGCTTACTCAAAAATACTGAAAACCTCTGTGCAATAAGTCATCAGAGAGTATTACGTCAGGATAATGCACAGTCAGCAGGTCACTATCACAATAAACCCCAACATGTAACATTTAGTTAATCCTTTAATATGTTTTGTATGTTGCAAGCTACATAAGGACTAAAACAGTTGTTCAATTCGGTACCTTTTTTAAAAGATATTACTTATTCATTTGATGGTTCTATTAAACACTAGTATCCATTAGTACATTATTCATGTTACATAAGGACTACTTAGCCAACAAAAATACTAATGCTAACGTTCCCATTAAGTTATGAAAATGTTTCAGAATTTTCTCTGAACATAAAGGACTAAAGTTTTGGGAAGTTTGATTTGTTTTATACAAGAACAATTAACAAAATTGGAATGAAGGACGCTCATCTAATTATGTTGTGCGCCCCCAGTGGCTGGTGAAGGTAATGCAGCATTCAGCGCTCATCACCGCATCGCTCCAGAAGCATCAGATCTCATAGCGGTGGTGAAAGGGCAGGGAGCAGCACTTAGGGTGGAGGACGTATGTCGATTCGCCAAGGTGCCTGGAAAATTGAAGGAAACGCTGCACTGGACAGCTTTTAGATATTTCGGGGCCTGCCAATCAGGGCTCCGTTCAGGGTCAATTACATCGGGGTTTCATTCACTGTGAAATAGAGCCTATTATTTATCCCACAAGATGGGTAATCGGGGAATGGAGGACTTGATTCCTCTGGTGAACGGACTGCAGGACGCCTTCTCTGCCATCGGACAAAATGCCAACCTGGACCTTCCTCAGATCGCAGTGGTCGGCGGCCAAAGTGCTGGGAAAAGCTCGGTTTTGGAGAACTTCGTTGGGACGTAATCGGGGTTTCATTCACTGTGAAATAGAGCCTATTATTTATCCCACAAGATGGGTAATCGGGGAATGGAGGACTTGATTCCTCTGGTGAACGGACTGCAGGACGCCTTCTCTGCCATCGGACAAAATGCCAACCTGGACCTTCCTCAGATCGCAGTGGTCGGCGGTCAGAGTGCTGGGAAGAGCTCGGTCTTGGAGAACTTCGTTGGGAAGCAACGTTAAGTGACTGATGACATTGACGGTCAGCATCACTCTACATGCATCGTGGCATCCAGCATTTCTGTATTGCTCTTCTGCACTGGACACAAGCATATTCAGTAGTCACTTATAATGCATACGTACCAAAACCAATGTTTATTCATTGTGATATCGAGTTAGTTATTCATGGCAACGATGAGCTCATAAATCAGGTGAATTTATTATGCACTGTCCCTTAATTGACTAAATAAAGCGATTTTACCATGAATTAATTAATGCGGGACATGCAGCCCACAAACCTTGCTTCGGTCTCTCGACATGTGGCCGGTATTGTGCCCAATTCACCGGTACTAGCGAGCTGCCAACCTACACCAGCATTTTTGGGCATCATAGCCGCGAGCAAGCTTTATGAATTAGGAAGAAAAAGGTTCTTTATGTGAAATATTGTGTGATATATTTTTAATTTACAGACTAGAATAACAGCGAATCACGTATGCCTCAGATAATGTTGTTATGCTTCCATTCGATTGTTTTCAGGTTTTTGTTAAGATATAAAGGCATTTAGAGGCTGCTGATATAAAAAGGACCCAAGTCAAGGGTTTAATGTTCAGCGGTTGCTTCTATCAGGTGTCAGGGGGTCATATGTGAGCCACAGGCCTATCGTCTTCCCTGCTGTTCGTTTTCTGTTCACTCTAGTCAAAATCCTGAAGGAATGCTTATGCAATTTCATGCACAAGTTGAAAGCAATGTTATTGGCACGATTTGATCTTTTAAAGGTTTAGGTAGATCACCCATAATGAAAATTCTGTCATCATTTAGGCTACTCACCGTCACATTGTTCCAAATTCGTATTTGATTACATCTTTTGTCCATGCAATGAAAGTGAATGTTGACTGAGGCTGTCATTTTGCCTTTTGTGGTCCATGCATGGAAGGAAGTCATACAGGTTTGGAACAACATTAGGTTCAATAAATGACAGAATATGAATTGTATGTGTTATACATCTATTCATTTATATGATTCTCTAAGACAGATCAACTCTTGCTTAAAATGAAATTTCTTTCCATTCCATTTTTCATAACTAAACGTAATATTGGTGGTACACAAGTAAATTCTGCTGTGGATGTGCTCTATACCGTCCAAAAGTTTTAGGTAGTTAAGATTTCTAAATGTTTTTGAAAGAAGTGTCTTATGTTCGCCAAGATTACATTTATTTGATCATGAATGCATAAAAAAACAGCTATACTGTGAAATATTATTAAAATTCAAAATAACTATATTCTTTATATATATATATATATATATATATATACAGTATATATCATTCTTGTAAACGGCAACTGGGTTATCCCTGGTTTGCAGTACCATTTGAGCTTTGTAAAATGTAAAAAAATTCATAATAATTTAAGAAATCATTTCTATAAAAGGATATACCAGACTTTCATATTTAAGTTCTGTAATGGTAAAGCTGTATTTTCAGCAGCCACTACTCCAGTCCTCAGTGAGTAAGCTGTTGATAAACTCTACATCACCTTATTTGATTCTTGCTGTTTTATTGCACATATTTTATCCAATATATTCCTGTACCTGCCCCAGGTTTACTACCATCCTTTATCTTTTAACAGCATCATTGTTTTGTGTCTGGCTCATAGCCAGTTGAGCTTTGCTTGTTTTCAGGACCAAAGGACAGTTCTTTCAAAATCTGTTCTTTCAAAAGGTAGTCTTGATTTGGCTATGATTATATGAACCAAGTGGCCACACTATTACTTGTAAGAGACACTGATCTTTAAATGAATGATTTATATATAACTTTTGTTAATATATAATTTTGAATGGTAGTGCACATCCATAGCAGAATTTGCTTGTGTACGACCAACATTATGCTTAGTTATGAAAAATGGAATGGAATGAAATTTCAGTTTAAGCAAGAGTTGATCTGTTTTAGAGAATCATATAAATGAACATATATATATATATATATATAACACATACAATTTAAATGTTGTCATCATTTATTTAACCTAATGTTGTTCCAAACCTGTATGACTTCTTTCCATGTACCACAAAAGGCAAAATGACAGCCACAGTCAACATTCACTTTCATTGCATGAACAAAAGATGTAATCAAATACGAGTTTGGAACAACATGAGGGTGAGTAAATGATGACAGAATTCTAAGGTTTCCTACGTAAAAGTAAATTCTTAAAAGAAATTTAAGATTAAAGTAAGAACATCTGTCATTGACTTGGCATTTGTTAGAATGTTCACATTTCAAAATACGAGTAATTATGTCATTGTAATATATGCATTTATAATAATTGTAATAATGCATTTTTTAAAATGCATATTTTCTTGGATTTATTTCATGGTGAACTGCACAGCTGATAGAAAATAACATGTATTCTAAGTGTCATGACAACAACAAAGCGTCTCTGATGCTTAAACTACTAACACTGCCCCTTTGCAAGTGGTGTAATTTGTTTCAGGAAATTAAAATCTAATTATCTTATTAGGTCTCTGGTGAGGAAAACAGCTTAAACCAACCTAATGTGTTTTGCTAGTCTTGCGGCCATCGAACTCTTCAATCTGGTCTGGTTTGATAGCTTTAGGCACTTGTAAGTATCTCAGGCTGGTAGACCAGCTGCACACTTGTGGAGAGACCAAATAAGACCAGCAAACCACGTTAGGCTGGTTTAAGCTTGTATCTCCATCAGGGATGTTTGTTTTATGGGTCAAAAGGAACCCAGTGTTTGTATTTAACTCAAAACATGCATAGATCCTCATCATTGGCAGGTTGCTATTAAGTCTAGCTCGTAACTTTGTGATGTTCGTCACTGCCACATAGACCTTCATTGTTATTGAGCAGGGCCTTCTTTCAGTGTTGTTGGTCACGCTACACTGTGAGCTCTGTGATCACTATAAAGTGTCTGTCAAGCTTGTCAGCCACAAACAGATCCACTGACTGGCAGTACAATGCTCACAGCTGTTACAAGGACAGACTTCACAATGCTGTACGAGGACCACTGTTTGGCATGAAATGTAGTGTGTTGCCTGGCTAGATTTACAGTTTTCAAAACTATAATACTACATATGTGGCCCTTAAAGGGACAGTTCACCCGAAAATCATTTGATTGATGACAGAATTTTCATTTTTGGGTGAAGTATCCCTTTAAATATAATTTACTCATCCTCGAGTTGTTTTAAACCTTTGAAATCGAGATATTTGGAAGATATTTCAAAGGTTTGAGATGATATGAGAGTGAAGAAGTGATATTTAAAGGGATACTTCACCTATAAATTAATATTCTGTCATCATCACTTAGCCTCAAGTTGTTTCAAACCATTAAGAGTTTCTTTCTTCTGTTGAGCACAAAATAAGTTATTTTGAACAATGTGTGTAGCCAAAGTCTCCCACATTGAGTCAACAGGTCTCCACTGACTTCCATATTATGGAAAAAAAAAATACTATGGAAGTCGATGGGGACCAGAAATTATTTGGTTACCAATATTGTTTAAAATATCTTTTTTTTTTGTGAGAAAATTCATGCATATTTGGAAAAACTTGAGGGTGAGTAAATGATGACAGAATTGTGATTTTTGAGTGAACTGTCCCTTTAAGAAAGAAAATGGCATTTTTATTTAAAATATATATATATTCTTTTCTTTTGGACCCCATAATTGTATGGACAAAACAGTTGAAACATTCTTTAAAATATCTTAGCTGATGTTTCTCTCATACTTAAATCATTTCCACGGCATGCTGACAAACTGTTCTTTGGACTCGTGAATCAGCTGAACGAACATGAGCTCATCCACGCTGACCATTATGGTTTATTAGACAGATGTCATTGTGAATGAGACATGGCCTT